GACTTTCATTCGCGTCGTCGCTCCTTTCACGACGAGCATCGACGCGCTTTTTCTCGTCGCTGAGCCCCGTGTTCGTCCCGCCGAAAGGAAACTCGATTCATTAAAAACGACGACGGGGCCGCGTCTCGCCGGGAACGTTCCTTTGTCGTTCGTCCCGTCGAATCATCCTCGGCATTCTCCAGCTTCCTGCCCTGTTTCGCCGTCGACCAACTAACGCGCTCGTCGGAATTATAAACTGTTCTTCAAAAGAGGACGCGCGCGCACCGCCGTCTCACATAACAGCTCTCCGTCACGATCGGGCTGCGAATTCGTCCGCGTTCCTGCAGCAAATGCTACCGAATAAGCACCCTCGAAACGAGAACATCGTCGAGTTCGAATTTAGGCGTGATCCCTGTGCGACAAGCATTATAGACGCGCTCGTTATGGATGCATTTCGACCGAAGCACCGCGTTGGTTCGCCATCGTTTGTGTCATGCGACGTTTCTTCTTCCGTGAAACCGATGCGACCGACCGTTGAACCTCTCTCGGGTTTGATCTCGCCCGAAAGACTCTTCAGCTTTTCTATCGAATTGAAACATTTATTCGAATAGCGGAGGTTCTTCTGCGTCTTCGAAAACCGTCTACAGTAAGTCGAAATAAATTGCCAGAGGAGGAAATTTCAGTCCCGGTAAATCCTACAAAGAACGTCGTCACGTTTAGCATTTCAATTTGGACGCTCGCAGCGTGTACCCGTGAATCGCTTTTCTTCGGCGTTCGATGGGATTTTCAGGGCAGTTCGTGAAGGAAAGTGTGTTGTCTAAAAGCGGCCCTTGTAAATCGATGCTCCGGCCTCGGTGTCGCCGCGGCAAAGAACGACGTTTTTTTTCTTTCTTTTTTATTATTTTACGGCGACGCGCGTCGCGTTGGTTAAACACTGCAATATTTAAAGGCGACCGCGTTGTCGGACACGCGACGGCTGCAAAAACGTCGGCTGCGACACGTGCGTTCGCGCGCGACCCGCCGCGCCGCCGGAGAACGCCGCGAAATTGCGGTTTAACGAACGGAGCACGCTTCACAAGGGAGCCAAAGAAAAGGGACGCCGGAGAGGCGATTCCGTTGCGGCCGCTGCCGATGACGTGTGCGGCCGTCGCGTTCCACGGAAGCCGGAAGCGCGCTCTCGTTTCTTCCCTTTCGCAGTCGATTTCAGAATTAACGAGCCGGCGAGGAGGAACTTCGGGCGCGCCAGTGTCAGTGAAAAATGAGTTTGTGGTGTGTTGCCTTTGGCAGTTGAGATTCTTCGACCGCGGCCAGAGGAGCGACCGTCAAAAGTCAACGGACGCCGCGGCGATTATCATTGGATTGAAATTTGAAACGTGTGAATCGTCTCGAATTGAATCATTTGCTCGGCCGTGCAATCTCGCGCGGGCATAATTAACGAGGGATTCAACCTGTACAAGCACCGCAACTTTGCGCGCATCCCCCGCAGAACGTCGTCCAAAAATGACCGCATCGTGGCCGCGCGCGGTTCGCTGTCGCTGTCTCGCGACTAATTAGTCCCGCGGAAATTTTCGGCGCGCATAAAACTGCCGAAAGTTCCGTCTCGCGTTCATTCGAAATCAAATTTCGCCCTCCGCTCGCCGGCGACCCTAGCCGAAACGGGGTCACCGGAGAGGCACTCGACGGTCGCGGATCCGTGACAGTTTGATCTTCCTAATTACGCGACGGTTCGGCGATACCAATTAAACGGCGCCGCGCCGGCTCGCATTTCCATGCACGCGTACGACCGACTTTGAAAATCCCGATCGTGAGGGCCGATCGCCGTCTCGTCGAAGGGCGTCCGCGTTCTCCGAGGCGACGAACAATGCGATCTTGCTCGCTTCGGGCAGTGCGGCAACGATCGGGAACCGTGAAACCGCGCTCGTTTCCCCCCGAGAGACCGAGTGTTTAACTTTGGGAATTGTATCGGGTCCTCCGGAACACGAGGAAACTGCGTTCCGAGCCGGAACACCTCTCGGAAGAGTGCTCGTTTTGTAATGCAGATCGTTCCCGGCCACCTTTTCCCGTGTTCCCACCTTGTCTCCGCAACTCGCACAATCGGCGAACCGTGTAACCCGCACCGGTGAATTAGCAGAAGCCATGAATCGACGCCTCCGACGCTCCGGCTAAATGATCGAAAAGGACTGAAACCTTTCGAAGGAGACCCCGACGCGAATTACTTCCCGGTGATTAGTTTTTGAAAGGGTCGAGACCTCGGTCCCCGCTCCGGGTAACACTTAACGTTTTACCTGCCGGTGGTTACTTAATACTTCTCGACGAGATCGATAATTAACTGGCGACTCCTTAAACGTTCCGACGCGAACCGCTGACCTTTGGCTACTTGTAACCGTTGCAAATTTTATAGACGCGCGGACGCGGTTACGTTAACACATGCGTGCGAGACTCATTTTCTGACGATTCGACTGGAAGTTTTCATTTTCTTTAGAAGTGTATATATATATATACATATACAATATAAATACAATACAAATAAATATATATATATATTATTATTTATTTGTATTATATATATATTTATATATATATACAATAATTTTTTTTAGAAGTGAAAGGAAATTGATGCTTATCGTGGGCCTAAATT